TTAGTAATAATCATTTTAATTTTAATATTATATTATCTTTGGATAATTATCTATTATCTATTGGTGATATAAGACTGTATCGACTCTTTGATTCTTTATGATTTATATTCTTGATATTTTGATAAGTATATTAATTTATTATTTTGTTTTACAAGTGAATGGATTATTCTACTTTTTTGTTGTATTTTAAAAAATACAGATTATATACTTTTAATTTAATATTTTTTTTAAAAAAAAAATATTTTTTATGGCAATTTTTATTTGATATTAGTTGTTGTAAATTACCTTCTTCTAACTTGACTTGTAGATTTGTTGAAGTTATTTATTGTAGAGATAGAAGAAACAATTATAGATACTATACTTGGTAAAAATAAAAATAGCTTTGCAACTAGTTCAAATCTTCACAAATTTGTGAACATTTTTAGGATGGAAATCTTACATATCATCAATTTCAACCATGGAAGTATTATTATTATGTCTATAGAATTTAATAATAAAATTCAATGTCTACGTCAAGAAGTTATGCAATTAAGAAAAGTAAGTAGATCAACCTTTTTATTGAATTTTAGAAGTCTTGTAATTATAAGTATAAAAGAAGCTAGAATCAATATATCAAAGAAGTTTGATAAAAGAAGGTCAAACTTTTGGGCATTTCTATAACAAATAATGCATTATTTAAGATTTCATTCTTCTCAATAAAGTAATGGATTTATTCAAGTTTGATTCATAGGTACACTTCTATCTGGAATTGCTCTTTATTAGTTTATATTTTTGATGGAAAAATATTCATGACTCTTCTATAATTCAAATTCATTCTTAAAAGTATTTATAGCCATGTTTAAAAAATAAATAATCAAAAAATGGTAGCAAAGATCAAATTCCTATCTTTATGTCAAGAATCACGTTTAGCCACTATATATGCTACTAAGTTCTACAACCTTGCTTGTGACATGGATTGCAATGATAAAATACTAGTTAAATAACTTTGATATGGATTAAAAGATAATGTCAAAGATTTTCTATTGACAATATTAAAAACATATTCATTGAAATAATTTATTATTTAAGCCATTATATATAATAAGTAATTTTTTGAAAGATGCAAAGATCAAAGATTTGATTAAAAAGGAATAAATAAAATCATGACAAAAACTTTTAAGTTTTTAAAAATTTATTCATCAAGATTGGAATCTATACATATTGAGACAATATGTTTCAAATTTTTCATTCAACAAGAAAAAACTTCACATTGTCAAGAGGATTTGTACTTATAATGTAGAGAATCCAAGTACATTGCTCAATATTGTCCAAAGAAGTAATGCAATTGTAAAATAAAGAGCATGGTTTCCAAAGAAAATAATGTATTAAAAAATAAGTTTCTTCAACTATAATAAGAACCATGAAGTTTGAAACTTGTGCAATACCTAATAAAGGTCTTATATTCTTTTTAGATTCTTTACCTTAATTTAAAATAGAAGATTTTTTAGGACCAAAAAATTACAAAGTCTTTGCTTTGTTAGATTCATAAGTCTTGGCTTATTTCAAAGGCAAAAGAATTATTAAAAAATAAAAAATATCTTTGATTAAGAAAATTATCTCCATATATTTAGAAGTCATAGATGGTTATTTGTTATCTTTTAACATAACCATCTATGATCTTAATTTTTTTTTAGATATAACAATTAATAGATATTATATTTTAGTAACATTTAATATTATTAAATTTTCTTTCAACTTACTTATTTTCCTTCAAACTTAATTATTTTATAGATTTTATCAAAGATCTTAAAATTTCAAGTTTTTATGACTTATATTCTCAATAGTAGATTTTTTGACCAAAATGGCATATTTTATATCATATATAAAAACTATTATAAGTGCAAAAATAACTAAAAACTATTTTTGATAATATTTAATGCTATCATAGATTTTCAAAGAATATTATATCAAATAGAAGAATTCAATTTGTATCTAGGTTTAGAAAAATCTTTTTCAAAATATTGAATGTGAACATAAAACTATCTTTGATTTTCCATCTTCAAATTGTTAGAAAAATAAAATAAGTAAATCAAGTTTTGAAGCAATATTTGATATTTACCATCAACTACCATCAAAATGATTGGACAATTTTTTTACTATTGGCAAAGCTTTCTTACAATAATAAAGTCTATTTTTCTACTTAATATTTTTTTTTTATACAAATTATGATTATGATCTAAAACTTGATATTTTTGACTTTTCAAAAGTTAATAATTCTTTAGAATAAGATTTGAAAAATTATTTATCAAAGCTACATACAAAAATAAAGGCACAAATAAAAGAGGTTCAAAAATGACAAAAGATCAACACATATGTCTATTACAAAGAACAACCTCAGTTTAATGTTGGCAATAAGGTATAATTATTTTGTAATATCAAGACTTATTGCCTATTATCACAAGTTGGATTACCATAGATTTAGACCATTTTTTATTTGTGAATAAATCAATCCAATTACTTATTGATTACACCTACCAAAGTCTATAAAGATCCATCTTGTGTTCCATGTTTCTTTTTTTTAGCCATATATGACAATCAATATACCAAGAAGAAGATAAATATCACTTCCTTCTATAAATATGGACAATAATCACAAGTTTGAAGTTGAAGAAGTCTTAGATTTAAAGCAGCACTGAAGTATGTTTGAATATTTTGTATAATGGTGCAAATATGATATTACTAAACTCATATGAAAGCTAATCAAAAAGCTTGCCAATGTAGCAAAAAGGATTGATGTTTTTCATCAATGACATCTATCAAAATCAAAATAAAGAATCAAGTAATTTATAACTACAAAAGAAACGAGATTAAATAAAGATTGAATTCTATCTTCTACCTTTATTTGTGATTTGTATTTATTTTTGGCACTAAAAATATGAAGAATCAAAAACCAACATATTTAATTCATAATTTATTGATTATTAAGTTATCAAACAATGCATTAAAATTGTGACAACTTTCAAGATCACATAATAGGAATAAAAACCATCAAGAACAACATATTCTTCTTTGAATAGATAGTGAAATATAATATGTTTGGTATCACGATTTTAGAAGAGACTTCCAATGTTTAATAATATTATTGGAGATAGTAACCACTCTCAATGATGTTCTTCATGTTTTATTTGAAGAAAATTATGAAGGCTTTAATAATGATCAAATAATAGAATAGTCTTTGTGCCTTGATATAAGAAACTATTAATGGTTGAGAGGACCTATCAACTACTTGTAAAAGGAACAAAGATCTAAATATGTGACAAATATAATATGTTATATCTTTTACTTCTTAAACACATAATTACCACTCTTCATAGAACTTGTCTCTAGAAGGAAGAAAATAAGAGGAGAAGAGGAGGAAAGATAATGTCATGGACATATATAATTACTTAAATAAGAATTATAAGATAGAAGCCAAATATAGGTAGATTTGATAATATCTTGTGAAAAAGCTTTTTAGATATAAATTTGATTTTATGTATATTTATAGTTAATTATTAACTTGAAAACTTAGTCAACAAGTTGGCCATATATTACGCATATAGAAAATTATCTTGCAAGTTAGATATAAGTTCAGCAAATTGAATACATGTTGAAGGTCTTATAGAATATTGCTACTTAGCTCTTAGTTAGATAATATATATAATGGCAAGAGTGAAGCCTTCTTTATTCTTGTCAACACCTTTCTTATTTCTAGTCTTATTTCAAGTCTTATTTCAAGAGTTTCTAGTTTTTTTTTATCTTTCATAATAGCCATGGTAGTTCTAATATTGTATTATCTTTGAGTAAATATCTACTCTCTTCAAGTGATATAAGAGTATTTAATCCTTTGATTCTTCATGATTCATGTCTTTACAATTTTATATAAGTGATAGATTTATATCATAGTGGACATTTTGTATCTGTTATTAAATTCACAACCATTAGGACTATTATAGCAATTAAAATGACAATAAACTTAGGCATGCATTAAATGATTCAGAAGGTAGTTTTAACCTAATAGAAGCATCTTTTAATTTGGAATGTACAAAAAAAATTTAAATTATTTTTGTACATTTTTCATATAGTTGCAATTGGTTAAAAATCTTCAAATCCATTTATAATTGATGTAGCTCTAATTGGTTTTTTTTCATTTATTGAATTATTTTATAATATTTTGGATCAATATTTACTAATAAAAAAATGGCTATTTTCACAAATAATAGATTCAATCAAATTACAAGCCTTTTGTAAATATATAAAGGTTTTATCTATATTAATAATAGCTATTTTATTTCTTAATCTTTATAGATATTCTTGAAAATTGGAAGTAGATATTTGATGGCCTAGATATGCATTTGTACTTAATAATTTTTGTATAACCAACAAACTAGAAGTATACATAGTTATTTATTTATTTATTTATTTTTGTTTGGATAGCTCAAGTGATTAGAGCAAAGGATTGAAAAATCTTTGTGTCAATGAGTCAAATCCACTTCTAAACACAAGAGAGTGAAGCTACAACAAAAAATAAATAAATAAATAAATAAATAAATTACACAGAGCTTCTTAGTAACTCATTCAGTTTGAAAAGAAACAACTTTTTTATTTCTTCAGGCTGCAGGTTTTGTTTTCTTGGTTCCGGATGGAGAGTGAACGCTGATTTTTTTTTCTTCCTCCCTCTGGCTACGCCCCCAGTAAGGCTTCTTCATACTAGCGGAGCTCAAAACCCTCCATCACCACGTTAACATGTAGATTTATGGAAAATAGGGAAGGCAACAAAACATTAACAAAATCAGGCCAAGAACGCTTATTTGTAGAATGTACTATTTGCAGGTTCTGTGGGTTTTTACTGCGTATTTGTAAACCGAACCTCTGGGACCTCAATTGTTATGTTTTTTTTCCAAGGAGTGAGTTTTACCTACCAATCAGCCACAGAAGCACGCCCTGGAGGTATCGAAACCACTTATCTACGAGGGCCTGAAGTCTTCCTAATCCTCCACAAAACTTTTTCTAGTTTCTAGAGGAGAAGCGTCATCATGGAACTAGTGTTGTTCGTATAGTTTCAAACGACTTTGTAATTTCCACCTCTCTCTCTCTCTCTCTCCTTCCTCTTCACTTAGATCTGTCAAAGGTCATGCTCTCTAAGATTACTGTTATACAACTCTCGGTTGCAATCTGCTCCAAGATTTGCAAGCGACTGACGTGATTACCGACAGTTTCGAGCGCGGTAAGCAACTGTGGGATTTGATGAGTTTTGTTTGTTTTCCTGTTATTTTTTCATGATCACCATGTAGCGGTAAGCCATGGCTTTGTCTTCTGACGGTGTTTGTTGCTTTGATCCTTAAGTTTGGATCTTTGTTGGTTGAATTAGGTGGTCGAGGATTTGATCCTGTGAGAGGGAGTATGAGAGAGAGAGAGAGAGAGAGAGAGAGAGATTGGTGGTATGATTCGGGCCGGTGGGGAGTTGAAGGGAAGTAATTCGGACCTCCTTGTGAACGTCCCCGAGGAAAGTGCCATATCCGACTACGTGTAAGCTTGGATTCTTACACACCATGACCATTTCATGACAAGAATCCAATTCCACCCTCTTGCACTGATTCTAGAAGCCCCTTGTTCTCCACTTAGCAAATTTACCGGAGATGATTGTGTTGTTGCTAGCTCACCACTGATTAGACGCGAACTTTACCCCAGCTTCGGCGTCCGGAATTGTGCCCAATTCCCCACGATGTTAAGATTTGCAGTTCTATCCTCCGTTGTGTGGTATAGCTGAAACCTGACAGTGAATTCATCTTGTATAATGCTTTCAGGACTGCGAGTGATACGTTCCAAGATGACGATATCATGCTCAACAAAGAAGGGATCCGGGTTGTGTCGCAAACTGAGACATCCACAGTGAGAAATTATATCTCTCCTGCCATATCCTATTCTTCTTATAGATAGATAGATAGCTAGAAGCATGAACGCAAATCGTAGCAAGTCATCTCAATTTCTCGTCTTCGGAAATTACACCCGGCGATGGTGGGTTGCAGGTGATCCCTATGCACAGGGAAGAAACAACATGTAAGCAGATCTTGCAAGAGCTGAAAGCCAACCACGCATCGTAATGCCCAAATGTTGTAATGTGCCACGATGCGTTTTATAACAATGGGTCCATATCTATTGTTTTGGAGTACGTGGATGCGGGTTCTCTTGCCGACATCATGGAGGAACTGGAACCAAAGTGTTTCCCGGAGCCAAACTTGGCGGTTGTTTGCAAGCAAGTATGTTATCTAATAGCAGCACCTATTTCGCCTCCTGTTTTCTGCTTGAAGGTTTTCACTTGGAATCTATCTAGAAAATGGACACTTGCCTGAGCAAGTTACTTTGTTGAGAAGGTTTTGCAAGGGCTCGTGTACATTCAAGAAAACTCGGCACATAATTCACGGAGATATCAAACCTTCAAACCTCCATAAAATCGCAAGGACGAGGTGAAGATCTCCGAATTTGGTGTTGGTGCTGTTCTGGCCAACTCAACGACTCGGGAGGACAGGTTCGTGATTACCCTTGTTTATATATCTGTAAGTGGTGCTGAACCCAGTTTTTCTTCTGATCGTTCACTGCCTTATCTAGTGCTTATTTTGCATGAGTTCAGAAGTCAGTAAGCATCACAAAACCAAACACTAGACCTTGACAATGTGGCTACAATTAATTGCTAAATCGTCTCTTAAAGGTACTGAATCTTCTTTTCAATACCATCTCCGGTTACCTCGTTCACTTGAATGTATGGTGGAACATGTTTGATCTTTGTGAAGTTATTGTTGGTCAGCCTGCCCCTGTTGCTCCTGCGGACCAATTCTCCCCAGAAATTGTTCTTTCATTTCAGCTTGGTAAGCTATTGGATTCAGTTAGTGCGTTCTTAGTTTTCTTGCATGTAGCTTAGTCGGTGCATTCTTTGTACTAGATTTCCATTTTTCCGCTAGCTTTTCTTGCAGACTTGGTTACTGATTGAGAAACCTCTTTCTTATGCTTTGGCAGCTTGCAGAAAGATCCTCAGTGCCGACCCACGGCAACAGAATTATTGGTTCGTGCTCTTACCGACTATCAAAGTTGCAACTTAATGTAGCTTCAGTTTCACTAATTATTTCTCTAGCTGGGCATTTTGCTAACACGGCTACTTCGGTGGTGCTGCGGAACCACCCATTCGTGAATAAGTATAGCTAGGAAGAACATGGATTGGCCAAATCGCTACCTCCGCCGCTACCTCTTGCCTACATCGCAGTTGCTCACAAAAGTGGGACGAAGCCGATGTGGGCATTTGTGACTTTGATATTAGCGTTTCTTTTGTAAAGATTCGTGGAAAGCTCAGATAGGGTCAAGTTAGCCATGACAGTGCTGATGGTGTTGCTGACGAAGTTGTAAAAGCGTTTTTTAGTGTGTAAACCACCTCACTTGGCGGGGGTTCTTCTTCTGGTGCTGCTTGCAATGCAGGTGTAAACGGTGTCCAAACCCCCTCGCTGCATTATTTTCCTACTTCATACCGCTTCTGTGGGTAAAAGTTCCAGTGGCATCCAAGGTCGTGAAGCAAGTTTACTAATATCGTTGAAGTGACCTTTTAGATGGCCCTCATTTATCATAATTCGGGTAAACATTTCCAATCACAGAAGCTAAGATTTCGTTGTATACGTGAAATATTATCCACGATCAGTTTAGTCTTCGTTGTGGAAATCGCAGCTTTTGAAAAAATAGGGAGACCCTTGACTCCAGGCCAAGTGACTGCCACCGTGTTGCGGTGTTCATTCAGCATGTCTCAGCTGCCTGGGTGAAAAGTCATGAACTGAGGAACTTGCATCACCATCTATATGAGACACGTAGCTGTACACGTCAGTAATGAGTATGTAACAAAAGTGTGCAACTCACTAGTCGGAAGATCGTGCCATGGCTGCGATGCAACGTTACGGCTATCCACAAAGGCAAGGTCTTCATGGTCGAGAGGAAGCATCCCACCAAGTACCAGTTAATTGGAATTATCGGGCCATGACATTTAATATCAACGTAAGTCACGGCACATTGAATTTCAAGTGTGATCATCATGCACCTAGAAAAACCCAAGTGTTTTCAAAATTGAGACCTGTGCCTTACTACAGTAGATTACTAATGCCGTCAGGTAATCAAGGTGCATTGCAGTCCCCCAAGTCGTGAATCCTGCTGGATCTCCGGGAACGCGATCTGATGAGGTTATGATACAGCTGATGATTAGAAACAAAAATCAAATGCAGAACCAAAGCTGTCACTGGTCAAAGGACAAGGTAGATGAGGCATCAGTATCTAGTTCCTCAGAGCGTCAAGAGTCACGAACTTTCCATTGGTCTAATTTTGTCAGGAGCCTATACTAACACAACACTGTTCCAGAGCTCAACACCAAAACGCAAATCACAGGGTGCTGCGTAAACTAAAGGATACATACCAATTTGCTTAATTTTCTTTAAAGGCTTTGAGTTTACCCGATCCATGGCTTAATCGAATCAAAACATGACCATAAAATGTTTGACTGAAATACGAATGTCTACTCGTAGACGGAGTAAGCCATGTTGCTGCATATAAGTACGTCGTAGTAAATTAAAACAAATGAAAAGAAACAATAAACAATATTAAGAAAAAAAAAGAAAAAAAAACTTACCACAATTCTTATTACATTCTTCTTGCTGTTCATACGACTAATATATGTTCCTTAGCAGAAGTTTCTCTACACAATGAAGTGCTTGATTTTCATGGCTGCAACAAGTGACTTCATTTCCACACGGTTTCCTTCGTATTCACAGAACGTACATGAAACCGATTGAAACAGGAAATTGGCTTTGGAAAGTTGTATACATTAAATGCATCTTTACCTTCAATACAAATCACACAGGTATCTCGTGAATTCTTACTACTTTAATCCAGTACTCACATGTGAATCATGATGAATGCGAAAATTATACAATCGAATCCTTCCCGTAAATTATGCTCAAACAACCACATCAGTAGGATTTTCCTTCTACTGAACACATGCGATATTTTCTTCATGTGCTCCACAACCCCCCCTGAACAGCACTCACTGAAATCCTTCACCACATTCTCAGACAGACAGAAATCAATCTATACACAGCTCCTCCTGCGCATCTTCCAGCTCCTCCGAACACTCAGCAACGTCACAATTCAACACAAACATGGCCGATCTACGCCTCTACAACTCCCAGCAACTACAGCACTAATTCAACGAAGGAAAATCCTCACAGAAAACGACTCTAAGAAATCTGACGACATGAAACCTCGGGAAGAAACGCACACGAAATATATTATATAATGAAATTCATTGGTGCATATTAATATAGAAATAAAATCTAGAAAATGGGATCACCAAAAACAAGTTGAATTGATCTTAAGACCTCATTTGTTATAATAATAATGCACTCACCTATCTTATATATTAAAGTTTCTAAATTGTGTTATTTCTTTTTAAATTTAAATTGTATGTGTAAAAGTTCTTCTATTTGGAATGTCAAGGACATAAAGAGTCGTAGCTTTTATTCAAAACTATCAACATTTTGTGTGAAGAAAGTATTTAAAAGTAGAATTAATTTTTTTGTGTAATTATTATTATTTTGGGCAATAAACCATCTAGATTTTCTTAAGGCATTGTTTTATTGAATTTTAGAAAAAAATTAAAAAATACAAACAACTATGAATTAAGATATTGACTAAAGAACTGCCAAAAAAGTTACAAATATGAAAAATAAAAATAAATAAATTTTATTTTATTTTATTTTTTAAAAAAATCTAAAATATCTAAAGAATATTTAAAGAAAAAATATAAATCTATAAAAAAATTAAATATTAAGTAAAAAAACCTAAAGATAAAAACTATAGTGAAGATTCAAAAGTTCTTATAAAATATGTAAAATTTTAATTACTTTTTAAATGTTAGAAGATTACTAAAGTTATTTTTAGTAAAAATATTAAAATTAATTAATCACTGATATATTTAATAAATGTTAATATTCAAAATTTTAATCTAAAATTTATTTTTTAAATCTAAATAAATAATCTATAATTAAGTTTATAAATATAATTAAATAAAATATTTTCTAAGTTACTTTTTTGTATAAGAAATGTCTTGGAAAGCTTTGAATAGCATCCAAATTGGATCTAATAGTCACCTATGGAGGAGCAAAGGAAAGAAGAGAAGGTGTTATAATAAAAATGTACCTATAACTGAATAAAACAACTATGAGAGATAAATATGTGAAATAAATACGAAAAGAGTAATTAATAAAGATTCAAATTCTTAGAATTTCATAAAATATTTAAATTTTATTTAGATGTTTTTTAAAATTATAGTTTTTTGAAAGTTAGTACTAATTTCTATCAATACTCATCTCTTATCAATTCTTTTTATAGGCTCCTTTTATGGAAAACTTTTACCACAACCTTAGCATGTATCTATTTGATAAGCTATAAAGACTTTATAAAAAATTAAAAATTAAAACTTACAAGATCTTTTAGATTTTTTATTCTATGATTAACTTGGTTAGAAAAGGTGTTTTTTCTTTTCATTTATATTTCAGACGCATTGACATGAAAAGAACTTCTCTTCCTAATTAAATAATTTTAAGTTCGAGTTTTACACCAATATATATATATATATATATATATATATATATATATCTTCTTAGAAGACATTAAAAAAATGGATTTTGAGAAGAACTATAAAAAAATTTAATATTTCATTAGAATATTTAAATACCTTATATATTAATATATATATATATATATATATATATATATTTAAAATTCAACATATAATACAGATTAGAAATTTTTATTTTAAAAAATATCACAAAATCTATTAAAATGTATAGAAAACTAAAAATATACACTATTGTAATTTTTTTCAAGATAAAAAAATAATAATATAAAAAATAAAATTAAAAGATCTTTTTTAGAAGTCATTTCTATAGTAGAAATAACCTAAAATTTCTTAGTCATAAAATTTATACCATAAACATATATTTATATTTATATTTATATTGTAAGATTATAAATTATAAGGAAAATTTATCATGAAGAATATAAATCTTTCTGTATTAAAAGTTGTTTCTCAAATGTATGAATACAATTTGATAGGACTTTTTCATGTCTTTATATCTTTGAGTTTTTAAAATAAATTTTTGATTTGAAGTCTTTAGAAAAATATTATTAATTATACCTTTAAATGATATTTTTTAAATAAATTGTGCAATGGTATAAAAGTATTATCAATAATTTTATAAATATATTTTTATTATATTAAAGAATCAAAATAAATAGTTTATGATATAAAGAGATTATTTAATTATAAACTAAAGTTCATTAATATAACTAAATATAATATAAGTCTAGCTCTTGTATATATTAGATAGCATGGGAACCATGTGATACTGATCTAAGGACTATGAGGCTTGCAGAACAAGTATCCAAGTTGTTGGATGCTTCTACATTAGCTTTTTAATATTTGTCTTATGAAAGAATGCCTAATTTTTTCTATTTACTTCTATTTTTTGTTTAATTATAGATTTTAGAAATATTCAGCAATATTGAGGTCGTAATGTTATGATGAAAAAAAATTAAAGTCTTATTAACATAGTTTGTTTTTTTATTGATTAGATAGTGAAAACTAAAAATAGAAAATTAAATTAATAAGATTTTATACATTTTATATGATAAAAATATTTTTTCAGAAAAATTTAAATAAATTTATTTTTATAATAAGTCTATAATTGATATATAGTTGAAAGAAAATATTAGAATATTTTATTTTTATTAATTCAAATTATAAGTCACTAAGAGATATTATATTTTTTTTGCTTCTAAATATATATAATTTAAAATACAATTGCAACCACGACCATTATATATAATTTTATAAAATTATTATTTTATAGCAGCTTAAATGTTTTTCGAAATTTCAATAATTATTTTTATAAATAATAAAATTTATTCAGAAATATTGAATTTTAAAATTTAAAATTTATATATTATATTAATTTTAAATACATTTTTGAAATATTATATAGTTTTTTTTTTGGAAATTTTAAATATACCAACACATCATCTAAATA